TATATATATTGTATTATCAGAGAACAATCTTTAACAAAATATAAATGCAATTTAATATTTTTATTTGGGGGTGGCCCTCTGGCTCCACCCCATCCTGGTGTTTACTCCAAAAGATAATCAGTTGTTGATGTACAATAAATGATTACTTATAGCTTTATTTATCTTATTTGTCCTCTGAATGCTACAGACCATCACATTATCTCTTACCAGCAAATAAACATATCACACAGAAGAAAAGTGAATATTTTTAATCAAAGCTGGATCTGTTTCTAAACATGTTTTATTCAATATGTTTGTGTGCAACTAGTGGAGTGGAATATAAGAAAAATGCTTGGACCCCGTTGATGAAAATTTACGTTTAAATAAATAAAAGGATAAATTTAAGTTCAAGACAAAACAGCTGAAACAAAGAAGTAGAATAAAATGCAAAAAGACATTTGAAAACTTTCGGCAAGGTCTACTGCCTCCATTAGCTTGTGCCTCGTTTTTTTCTAATTGAAGGCCGGGTGCTACAGGTTTTAAGTCTTTATACACTCTGACTCTTCAGACCTTGCCCCAATAATCAGCAGCCACAGGCTCCTCTTAGCTTCTGCCAGCACATTAAAATGAAATTACTGATGCCCTCTAAGCAGGAGGAGGCCAAACAGAAGATAGCGTTTTTAGGGAACTGTTTCTTCGTTTTATAAAGCAGTCTTGATTAAGAAATAGCAGTTAACAGAATGAGTGGAGGTAAAACTTTTTTTTAGGAGAATCGCCTGTAGAATTGCCAGAAAGACTCATTTAAAACCTCATCTGAGCACCAAAAACTTTCACAGGGAATCAGCAGACTGGAGAGTCGAGTAAGCAGCTGTTTCTGCACAGACACCACTTTCATGTGGAAATACTCAACCTGGTTTTTATGTGCCCACAAAAGGACAAATCAGTGCAGAAGTTCTAATAAACATTTAACTGAAGCAAACAGGTGATGATTAATAGAAAAAACTGGAGTCAAATACGAATTCTTGAAACTATTTGTGAAAACATTAATATGAAATATTCCCAGGCTAGTAAATCTAAACACTTCAACATCTGCACAAAGTGAGCAACAAAAAAATGCCACATCCTAATTTGTTTTCCTGTTTCTGTACACCAATACACACACTAATCAGACAGTTCAGTCAAATAATCTGTGTAAACTATAACGTAAAATAGAAATGAAAAAAGAGAGGGGTTTGCATAAAATACTACAAAATTTTGGAGGTTTGAGTTGTTTAGACCAGTGTTTTTCAAAGTGGARGCCACTAGGGGGCGCAAGGGAGGTCTCAGAAGGCTGGAGGGAAAAAAACGTAAAAAAATAATAATAAATCTGTTTTAAATTATAAAATGTAACTTGTTATTCAATTTTAAAGTGTAATTTATAATATATGGAAATATTTAAGAGGTTTGATTACTTCCGTACTTATCTGAAGTTTGAAAAGTTGTTTTTTGTGGAACAAATGTTTCAAAGATKAAATAAATCAAATGTTAAGATGAAACTCTTTACTAAACAAATGTAGTAATTATTGAATAGTGAATAAATATACTGTTTGGAAGTTCTTTGTTAATCCAGAGGTTCCTAAACATTTTCATGACAGCAATCCCAGTTGATTTTGGCCCAGATTGGTCAATCTGGTCAAATTAAACCCTTAAGCAAATTAAATAGAATGAAAAAAACTACTGCAGATATTTGTTCAATTTCCCCAAATATTCAAACTTATTTTATATTGTATCTGCTGTTTTCTCATGTTTTTTCAATGGCAATATATTGTGGAATTCTGTTTTATCCTTCATTGCTGTTTTATTTWAAAAAAAAAAAAAGAAAAAATCTGGTTACAGTTTGCTTAAGCGTACATTACAATTTATGAGATTTCCAAATACAGACATCCACACTGGTGTGTTTTTACATTATATAGGGCAATTACCACTACGTCCTGTGGTAACCTGGCCACTTTTTCCACACGACTCATTGCCACGTTAAATTTGAAAGCCAGCGTTGCTGAGATTTGTAATTTTCTTAAGGTTTTTTTTTCTCTCTTCTGAAGCAGCTCCATTTGTAACCAGGCAGCTGATTCTTTGGGCAAAATAAACTATAAAAGATGAAGTAATTTTCAGCATGTCAATCAGAAACCAATTATAAAGAAAACCCATTACAACCACCAACTATTACAACCGTCCACATGTCCAATTTACATGTTGAAGTAAGCAATAAACCAGTTTTTAAATCCTCTTGAGAAAGCAGAACTGAACTGTTGATTTTTTGTGGGGGGAGGGGGTGAACTGAGCAAGACGAACGATCAGCAATGATAAGTGACTAGATCCTGTTCACACGCTTCTGGAGCAGGAGGTAAATAGATTATCCTTGCAGGTGTTAGTGTAGATGTGCATTAAGGCTGGAAGCTTAACAGGAAAACACAGCAGTGATTTAAAGAGGATCTGCCAGCGGATATTGTTTATTGGTTGTTACTTTTTAATGCAGACGGCAACCAGGTGGATCCGCAGTGTGAAACATTTCAGCTGGATAATCTAAATTTAGATATAATCAAATATAATAAAGGTATTTGTTCCAAAAAATACCAATTATTCCTGTAAATGCAGGACTTTTATCCACAATAAAATTACCATCAAAGGGTCAGCATTCCTTGAAAGAATATCACCCATACCATATCGTGAGTTTCAGATAATATAAATCAGAGAAACACTTTRGTCAAACCTTGTAAATTAAATTAGCGATCTGCTGTATTAGATCTGTTAATGCTCAGAGTATGCATTGTGGATAGCTCAGCTACCACCACATCCAACTTTAGCTCAATATTTATAAATTAGTTATCTTTGTGTTGAATGAGATTGATTAGCTGGGGCAACAGTYTTGAATTGGGCTGACTTCAAGAGTTAAATGTACATCCAATGATTGTTTGCGTTGTTTCATTAAAATATGCCCAGTGGTTTATAAAATATTTTGCTAATGTTTCAATGATTATTCAGTTTTAAGTTATTTGTTGTTTAATAAAAGGGGCAGATATTGTTTTTCCTATTCTTTCTGCACCCTTTTCATTCAAAAACTGATTTTTATTTTAATTCTTTGATTAAGAATGAAATTAAACTTAAGTTTAAAATTTTAAGCAAAAATGTTATTCCGTAGTGCTGTGTAGTGAATTAATCCCAGCTACTACATTTTAGCTGAATATCTGCAAAACTGCGCTATCGCCTCTACACTATGTGGGTTTTTATTCGAATATTTGATTTTTTATTTGGTGAAAATCCTCCATTACCACTGACCGGCACTTTTTTTTAAATTCTACAGAGCTTCTCATTTTTTATGATTTAGACCATTCATTACCTACAAAAAAAATTTATTTCATCCAATTAGAAAATTATTCAATGAAGACTTTCAAAATATTTATTTTTAGTATAAAAATGAGCCAGGCAAGAAAAATATCATTTTACCCTCCTACACTCAAACACCACTTCTGCAGAACATGTTTTTCCATTCAGGGCCAGATTCCCCCACTTCGCACTTCAGACAAGAGGACTGATTGCGCTGCATTTCCCCCAGTAATTTAACGTTCAACAGGGTCACAAAGTCAGGAAAATGACCAAATTAGAATTTGCCTTCTCTCTTAAACGGGAATTAAACACTTAAGAGTTCTTGTGTATCCAATATCAACTGAACCAAATTATTAATTTTCTTTCAAGTTTAATCACTTTTAAAATCGGTGGACTTTTCTCCAACCGTAAACACTGAAAGCTCAAGGTAGAACTGAATGATCGGATTTATTCCACATATGAATGATGTGCATTTATAGTGATAAGCAATATATAAACTACGGTGTACGAGAGGATCGAGGAGAAAATTTAAGAAGTTTAGTGTTTATTTTTATCCTTCTGAAAAGTCAACAGCTGAACCAACAAATCACAACTTTAACATGAAAAAAAACTCCAAGGCAAATTATTATTTAGATTTTATTAATACAAACAACATTAGTTACTTTTTAAAGAACAATGCATAAAACTTCAAAATTGGCAGCAATACAGACATTTTAAAGGAGATCATTTTATAATAGTCATAAATCCTTCCAATTTCTAAACAACAAAATTAGCACAGACATGTTTTTAATCTTCATTGCAAAAAAACTCAATCACTAATTATTAAAAACATTAAACAAAGCAAAGTTTTAATAAGGAGGTAAGTAAAGAAAACAGGAGCAAAGAAACCCAGGTGTTTTAAAGATAAAATTCTAAGTGCAAAAAGCCGAGCAACAATAATATGACAAAGGCTTAAAAGAATAGAGAAACTTTAAAGTGGGTCATAGTTTTCCCTGTCATTTGGTTGTGAATTTATTCTTTCAACTGTCTTGTTGGGATGCACTTTTGCCATTGCTCCCAGTGAGGGAGAGAGTTTTCAAGCTGGGCGGTTCATTACAAACCATTCAGTCCTTGATCAGACGTTTGACAAGTGATTAATCAGGCAGGTGGCCTCAGCAGAGCAACTGAAAGTTAATTTCCACACTTCTGCATGCAGAGATGAATTTAAAGCGTGTTCAGACAGGGTGGCTGCCGTCACCACGCTTTCAGGGTGACCCCCGGCCCTCACGTTTGAGAGGATTACATCCAGCCCGACCGATCCGCCGCCGCAGTCGTCGTGCACCAGTATGCAGCGCACATCCGAGCACCGGCGAACAGTTAAATCATGGAAGTGGGGAAGGCGGGCTGCTGCCTTGACAAAGTGCAGAGCTGGGTGAAAGACGATGTCCTCCTGCACCAGACCCAGATGGCTATCTGTGAGGAAAAACTGGGCCATATGTTTGCCGCGAGTGCTGGTGCTGATCTGCACGGCGACACTGGCGTACAGCAGTAGCTGCACCTCGCCCAGAGCGACCGACGCCTGATTCATATTACAATAAATAAGATAAACCAAATCAGCAAAACTCCTCTGAAATCTACAGCAAAGGCTTAACCCGGCATCCAGCAGCAGGTCGGGCACACCGAGCTGACAGTCTAGCAGCAATTTCATCAGATCTTCATGCAGCAGAGCGTTCCGAGACACCCTGCAGTCCCCAGGACAAACAACATCAAGCATGGCCCAACACAGCTCTTTGGTAATCTGCTGGCAGTGGGTATAAACTCCCAGCACGCTCTCCTCAGTTGATCCCATTAAACGCAAACTTTGGCCTGCTAAACCAATCTGTATCTCCTTTAGCTGCAGCAAAGGGAGGTGATGGAACAGTAGCAGCTGACCAGAGTCAGCCGTCAACGTATAGAGGTCAGAATCTGACAAGATCAGGAGGCCAGGCTGAGGTTCAGGTTTGCTGCATTTAGCTACATTCAGCCAATAAAGAGATGCTCCCTGCTGGGAGGAAAACACTGAAGTGGAGACGATGGATTGTAATGTGTTCATCAGGTCTTGCAGGGGTTTATTTTGAAGGGTCAAGAGAGGATCAGGATATTCTATCAATGTTTGAATAGCAATGTGGACAGTTGAGTTTTCCAAAGCCTGATCTTTATTTTTACGTGTCTGCATAACTTCTGACTTAGTGATACGCATCAGCAGCAAAGGCTGTGTAATATTTTCATCTCCTTGTTCTACATGAACATCAGTCGCCCAGTCGCTCTCGTGTGTCGACGGCAAATCTTTCTCAGAGATTTGCTGCTTGTCATCTCGCAATTCTTCCTCCATAGCTTGTGCCGATGTCAGGGCTGGGAGTGGCGTGTTATCGGGATTAATGCAGCCTTGAATCATCCGAGCCGTCTCTTTGAGCTGAAGATTTTGAGTTATATTCGTCTGGACGTGCTGCGGGAGGGGCAGTTCTTTCACAGCAGAGAGATTGTGAAAATCCCCGAGAAGAGACGAGACGACGCACCTTCCAAACATAGAGAAGGCCCGGCTGCCTTTCACTGCAGACACAACGTTACTGTCTTTGACCAGAGAGATGACGTGTTTGGACCAGCGGGCACCCATTGACTGCAGTCTCACGTTTGCGGTTTGGTAGAGTTTCGAAGAACTCGTAAGGAGATGATGTGCATCCTGCACAAGCCAAGAAACTCTGCTGAGCAAAGAGCCCAGCCTTGACTTTTGAACTGCAGGTGCTCCTTTCTGTGTCAAATAAACTTGTGCAATATCCTCCAAACCTCCAGATTCAGTCGCCTCTTCACAACTGTACTGATCCTCAGAAGCTGTGTCTTTGGTCGGACAGCGGGCCGTCTCAGTGCTGAGCTGGGAATGAGCGCCGGTCTCTGGGAGGACCGTCGTGGAGCTACTTGCTCCGTTTCTCTGCAGGTGGGACAAGCTTTCTAATGAGCTCCCACCAGAGTCAGGTCTCCCCTTATAGTAGTCAGTCATGACACCTTGGATCTCATTAGCATTCCCTTCTGGCTTCATGCCACATCCATCACCTGGGCCCAGGACACTTGTCTGCTGGAGGCTGGCATCCCCTGACCCAACCTCTTCTCCATTATAACTTGCAACACCGGCTCCACTCTGAGCTCTCCTCTGTGGCCTCTCAGACATGAGCTCTGGCCCTGATTTATGACACAAGTCCCCCTCCTGCTCCTGGCCATCCCTGATGCTTACTCCACCTTGTAATGCATCTCCATCCGACTCCAAACCGGTGTGAGGGACAGGATCTCTTTCAGGAATGGCCTAGTTTATATTGTGCAGGTGGGTAAGAAAGGGGAGAGGGGAAAAATAGAAAAAAAACTTTCAAAGATGTCCACAAACTCTGTTTTATGCAAATAACTATAAATCTCTGGCATTACCGAGAATCATTTTAATTCAGCTCACATTAGAAGCAAATTTTTATTTATGCGTTCAATTATATTTGAAAGCACAAAGACAAAATGAGGGGAAATGAAGTGAGAAATAACAAGGTGCGTTTATAAAAACCAAAATGCTTGTGTGCATTCACTGCGCTGTGCTTTCACAAAGTGTCATTTCCTTTGAAACCCCTACAGAAGCACGTAAAAAGGGTTTGAATATGTGCATAATAAACACACATAACAAGCCCAGGGAAAATGTGTTTCATGGCTCATAAATCTGCATTGGGCCTGGCTGGAGAAGGCATTGACATTTGCTTTAAAAAAAGTTTAAATAAACTTCAACACTGGCAGAACTGCAATTATCTAACAAAATTGCGATAAAATGTTGTGCACAATAAAAATAAATCACTTTATATTTAGCTTTATACAAAAATGTAATTTGTTGAAAGTGAAATAATACATACTGTGGCCACGAGCTTCTCTGTTGCAGATTTAAGACAAACTTTAGGGTTTTTCGTCTCGCTCTCCTCAACCAGTGCATCCATCTGGATATGACGACTGGTGAACAAACGCAAATTAAAAACATAAATTTCACATTTTAGCAAAGAACAAAAAAAAGTATTTTGATAAGATGGAGGTGTGAGCACAATACTATTGTGGTTCTACTTTTTGTTGGCAGGGCCTTTTGTTTTCAAGAACAAATTTAATTATTTGATGTGTTGTGACACTGGAGACCCTGAACAGTTGGCAGTCAAAAGAAAAACTGCAATAACCCTCAAGACCCTCCTCTCACACAAAAAAAAAATCCATTAGATTTGAAAAGCAAACACCCCAAATGGCTGGATGAGATTAGAGACACTCTGCTAGCTGTGAAATTAAATAGAATCTGTGCATGTTGATTTGAGGATTTACATACAACACTCGGCACTCAAGAGGAGGGGAGCAGAAACAAATACGCAGCTCAAATTTTTCTTTTTTTTCATGAACAGCGAACGGCAGCTTTAGAAAAGCTTTGTGTGCATCAGCAGGTTGACAAAGGGCGACAGGAACAAAAGTAAAAGCGTTCACAACATCAACAACAGGGACAGAGCTCAGGTCCTGGTGATGATTAAAGGATTTCTRCAAATCCTGAGGATCAGTACTGAGAGTGTCCTGTACTCACTGATGCTYGTCAGCTCAAATATGAGGTTAACATAATTTGATAATTTCTCATTTTTTCCGCTCAAGATGTGCGTGGTTCACATACGAAGGGTTTAACTGCTAACATACGGCAAAACTGGCTGTTCAGAGAACCAAGGGAGGATAAGGAAAATATGTTGCCTTACAGCGCTCCATTAAAAAACAGACCAATGATTTTCAATCCTCCTTTTTCACATCTTTTTTTTTTTTTTTAAGTGATGACATTTAAAATCATTAAGTTGAGGTCTGAATTCTTCCTTATTGCAACTCCACAAGCCCCGGCCCTTTTTAGGCGCATCAGATAAACTAGCTTTGAGGCTGTCTCTTTAAATCCACGAGGCATTTYACACCCTGCCTCCCCTCCAGCATCCAGAGTGACCATTCTAACTTAGAGGCATTTAAGACTATAGCGATGCAGAARCATTTTTCAAATTGAAAGAGATAACAGAAGATGGACCCAGCACCAGGAGAAACTAAATTTAAAATTTTCTGCACTCTAAGTGCACAACAAAATGTGTTTACTGGCTAAAATGTGTGTTAAAATAAATGTGAAATTGACAAATTCCATCAATGTACATTTGATTTTTTTCTCCCTTAAATCTCACTTTAAATGTCAATTTTTAATCTCTGCATAACTTAAGTAAAACATAGGATATAGAAAAGTCATTAAGTTCCATTTTAACTTAATGAATATTCACTAAAACCTTTAATTAACATGACTAAATGAWTTAGCAAACTGTCCTGATTGAATGTTTGATATTTTTGCACCTTTCATACAACACCTCCAGAACAATATCCTTTTACTTCTGTTTAGAGTCAAGAAAATGTTAGAAAACCTGAACTGAGCAAATGTTTGATCACAAAGTAATTTGTAAATCTGGATATACATAAAATGCATGGATGCCCTCAGAGTAAGTTAGATTTTATGTTAATTGAATTACCTTCTGCCTGTTCTGACTGTAAAACTGGAGAAAATGTGAAATTCTACTGATGTACATCTTAACGGGCAGGCTGCTTTTGTTGCACAGGAGCACGTCCCCAAACAGCTGCAGGTCAGTTCGCTGATATCTGGTGTCACTCCCGTAGAGCAGCACATCTACAGCCGGCGTTTGAATTCAAATTATTTGCTCTTACTTACTGCTGAGGGTTATTTCCAAGATTATTGAGATCAATTCTGTCCTTGCTGCAAGGGAGTTTATGCAAAGCGAGGCAAGCGGAACAAGAATGGAATACATATACAAATGAAAAAGAGTGTTCCTCGCTGCTTACATTAAGAGCTTGAACAGATGATAGTTCAGTGTTGGAGGTTAGGGAAGGGAAATGAAGAACTATTGTTTAATATTTCATGATGCATGTTCAGAACAAAATGGACAACAGCACAGGAATCCAAAAAAAGTCAAACGCAGTTTGAATGAAGCCTCACAGCCTACAGTGGTTCTGTCGAGCTGCTGCAACCATCACTCCATATCCGGGGACTATTTCTCTGCTCCCAGCAACAAACTAAGCATTTCTGAAGCAGGATAATGAAGATGGCAGCTGTGCAAATGACAAACGGCAGCCTTACAGTAACAGAGTGTAATCACCCTTTCATATCTAAATCAAACAGAGGAGTGGACCTGGGCTGCAGGTATCTGAGTGAAAGCAGCAATAATCACGCGAGCAGAAAAGTTCACTTTTTTGGTAAGGGTGGGATATGCCGCAGTGTGGAGGAAATTACATGTCAAACCGCTCCACGTGCTGTAAAACATCAGGGTTAGCAGATCAGCGGAGACCGGGGGGGAAGTCTCAAATTGCTCCGTACTTCAGTCCGTGGTGAATCACTGACGAGAGAATTGGATTTTGGACACTAATTCAGTGAACACAGACAGTGACAGATCAATGAACTGTCACACAATTCCAAGGCCTTGGTGGGGCATAGAGATGTCATATGATGTTTGCAAGACTTTTGACAGGTATCCTGTTTAAAAAGAGCACAACCGCAATAAATTAAATAATCGAGTCTGGTTCTGATAAGATATTCAGACGTGGCTTTGAAATCCTTATGTTAATTACAGCCCTTAGGCRTTTAACTTACTGAAGCATTTAAAATAGTCCTGGAAGCATATTTTTAGAAATAAGAGTTTAAATGTACATCTGGGTTATTTAAACTATGTCCTGTCACTTCATTATCAGAATAATTACAGAAAAACACAAAAAGCAGGTATAACTTAAACTATAACTGGTTTAAAGCTTAGAAAACATGATTGCGATTATTGCATCAGTTGTCATAAATCCATGTTTTGTCCTCAGTGTTCAACAATCCATGTGCCAACTAGGCTTTTAGAGGAGTGCATGTCCGTCTTTTTGACAAATTTGTATCATTTTTGCATGCACGGTGTCTGCAATTTTATAGAATCCTTTCACAARCATGATAATGTGCACAGTGACGATGCAGTAAATACATTTTTGATGTTTTGACTGGCTTTACCCTGAAACAAAACCAACTTTGAAGTATTTTTACTTCCAGAAGCATTACACCTTACTGTTTTTAATATTTAAAGACAAAGTTGTGCTATTGTACTACATAAAGGTCTGACTGAAACTTATTTCTCACCAAGCAAACTCARTGCACTCAAACTTAAAAGCACAAAAATGAGGCCAATTTAGCAGCTTTAAAAACAAAAATCCAACCATCTACAAACCTAAATAAAGTCAAATATCGTGTGACAGTTCACAAGTCAAAGATTTAGATAACCCTGAAATAATCCATCCTGCAAGACTTTCATGTGTGCATTTGTAAGAGAAATAGGAAAGATCAAATCAGGGACAGTTTCAGGTGTAACAATGATCAGCAGCTACTCGTCACTGATTGGCTCTACAGGAAGTAGCTCTGATTGACTGTCAGGTGTTATTTCAAAGTCTCAAGTATTTTTCACAATTTCTGCCTTTTACCAAAAAGGTTCATATAACTTCCCCCCAYATTTCTGTTTTTGGCATGTTGCTTTAAAACTGCTTACACCGAGTTCACACCAATAAACTGCTACAGAATACTTTAAGAGCTGGAAAATCTTCCAGTAATTTAATCTTTAAGGKGTTTAATACGGACTTAAAAGCAGAAAAGCATTTGGGCCAAGTACAAAGTATGAATGATTTTTTTTAAACAATCACTGCATTATGAGAATTTGCTGGAAAGCTGAATTTGAAGTGCACTACAGTAATGCTGGGATTTGCACACAAGGCTGTTTTCACTACCTTGTGAACTGGAGGTGATTCGGGACATGTCCTCTGTTGCAGTAGACCTGCCTGATATGATTCTCACTCAGCACGAAGCACTACAGAACAGCTTTTTTTATTTTACATAAATGCTGCCTTGATTTATGGCTTTGATTTGCTCTACATACCTGACGAATGGTGCTCAATAAAGCAGGGATTTCAGAGACAGAGGCRGATGAGGCACAGTTAGTCGGAGAGCTACAGAAAATGCCAGCATACTGGATGTTTTACCCTGAATTCTGCTGCATCGCCAAGGACGGATTCTCAGTAGATATGGACAAGTCAGTCAAAGATGGACAGAAGGCAGGCATCATCTCTCTCTGCAGACAGAACAGGAAACAACTTAAGAAAAAAAGAATGACATCTAATGGTTCTGAATTATACACTCACTTTTGGTATATACTACATCAATAAACAGTATTCTTGACGATTTAAAAAGAATTGATACAATTTAAGGGGGAAGCTATATCAAAATATAGTTGGCCTAGTGGAAATTATTCAGCAATGATAAAAAAAAACCTTGAAGTTTAAGAATTAATCACCTGAAAGGGATAGTGTTGTCTGTACTAATAAAACTGAGTTGATGTTGAAGACGTGACGCTCTAACTTAGAATAGATATTTAAAAATTTATGTTATGGACTTTGAGATCACAAAGGGGTCTGAAAGCTTGAGCAACTCTTCGGTACATGTAAGAGTGGAGCCATTTTCAAAAACACAAAAGAGCACAAAACAGACAAACACTGAATGCAGCTGTAGCTTTGAAAATGGTACATAAAGTCAGTATTGTTTAAAGACAAAAAGTGCAAAAATGTCACTTTATTCTAAATAGATTGTGCCAAGTTAATATAAACGTTCACTAGGGGCATTTAGGCAGTAAATGAGTAGGATGCTGACTGGCATAAGAGTCTCAAATACAGGGCCGGCCCAAGGCACAGGCAGTGTAGGCAAGTGCTAAGGGCGCCATTCATCTAGGGGGCGCTATGAATTAAGGACGAAAAAATTAATTTATCAAAGTACAGTTAATTTAATCTGTTGAATACTGGTTACTCAGGTTTATGAACTTGTACCGTGGGTTTCTCTGCCTACTTTGTTACTACACGAGGTTATATAGTGCAGAGGAYGTTTTGTTAAAAAAACGATGCAGTCTACTGGTGCTCTTAGATAAAGTTCAGGTTTAAGACTAGTTTTAAGTGTTCTCCCTTCATAAAACACTAATTTTGGATTTAATTAAATCTCAATAATGTAGTCAAATGGCTGGAAAATGCATAGTTTTGGGTATACTCTACCTCTGGACCCCCTAGGACTGCTTCAGTCCACAGGTGCTAGTTAACCGAACATCTTGTATTCTGTTTCAAATACATTATATTAACTATTTTAGATTTTATTAGCCTTTATTGTCCCGCAGAGGGGAAATTGATTATCTGCATTTTACCCATCGCACATGTGAACACATGTGGAGCAGTGGACTGCCAATTACAGCACCACGACTCCCCTTTTAATTGGACAACCTACTTTCTAAAGATGAAAAAATTTAAACAAAAGACAAAGCTATTTAATTTAGTACGTTATTGCTTGTAAATTGATAGCAAGATTTTGAAAGTTGAACAAGTAGGGAGCCACCTAAAATCTTGCCTAAGGCCAGCCCTGCTTAGATAAATAGAAATACAGTTTTGTTTGTGGATGTTTTGGGTAGATCCTGTACCTGCTGGTTCTCTCTCARCTGGAAACCTTCAGTTGGGTGGTTAAACCGAAGCCTGGTCCCTCCTCCAAGCTGTATAACAGCACCTACAGGGAATCAATTAGTTAAAATGTATAAATACAGAATCAAACTACCAAGCAAGTGTCCAACAGTGCTTGGCAATAGTATCAGCTGCAATTTAGTCTTAAAAGGTGCTCAATGCAAATCTATTAGAAATGGTCAGAAAATAAAAATCTGCACATTTTTGTCCCTTCATATCAATGATTTGGTCATTAAATTAGGAGGAAATGGTCCAAGTAAACTTAAGGAGTTTTGTAAAGCTGCAGAGTTCAAGTAATAAGTGTGTCAGACGTGTGCTTGTATGGCTACATCTCTTGGTTCTCCTCTTTCAGTGCAGCAAATACTGATCTTGCCACCACTAATGACTTCAGACGACCGAGAAAGCACCTGAAAAAAAAAGCTCAAATAAATTCCACCTGCTGTTGGACTGAAAATTACTATCATTTGTTCAAGAAAATAGCTTCAGATGCATCCATTTCTGATGGGAATAGTGGATAAATTGAAAAGGTTCTAAAAAAGATGACTACAGCCCAAATCTGCACCGCCTGGTTTTGTGTGGAGTTTTTTTATCTCTCAAAAGCGACGCATTTTGGATGAGGAGTCAGGAAGCAGTTAAAGCTCCCAGCTACAGCGAGCAGGGTYCGCTCAGGGGGGGCAAGAGAGGTGGGTGCACGGAGTTTGAGCTCAACTCGCCTGCGTCCTTTGAAAGGTTAATGCTCAGCCCACTTCAAAACCTGTCGGCCCTATCAACTCCATCTGCCAATTAAATGGAGGGCCTGGGGTTTTGTCTAGAGCTTTGTCCAGGGCCCCATCGCCCTTCAAAATGTTTAGTAAAGAGAAATGGCATCTGCCCCGTGGAGAGCTGCGTTCACAATCCACCTGTGGCTCAAGTGCATTGCCGTGGGGAATTTGGGGAAACGAAAGTGGATTCTGTTTGCAGATGAGACGCGGTGATGTCATTCCGTCGCGATTATCAACTAACAAAGCAAATAATTGAGAATTCAAAAGAGAAACAGTTCGAGTTTGCTCCCTCGTGCTCATTTCTTGAAGAGGATTGGGAGAAAAATTGGATTTTGTGAAAATGCTCACCCTGAGTCAGCTGGCAGGGTTCTGTGACCACGGAGCCATTCACTGAACACAGTGCTCCATCCTGGGGGAACAGAGTCACAGTCCCAGCGCAGTTCTCCAGCACACAGTGTTCATGGAGGAGTCCAGGTCCATGAAGCACTACAATACAATCAAAGTTTGAATAAAGCAGCAGCTGGGCATACGGTGTGAGAAGCTGTACACTTTAACTCACCGATATCTTGACTGCACAATGCATCATCACTCCCAATCAATGTTCTGCCCTCCTGCAGAAAAGATTAAAAGATCATGACAAAAAAGCCGAGCTCAMTGGAGTTCAAATTAAATTTTCAAAAGACCCATTCACTTTCAAATAATAGAGGTTGATTCCAGCCCCGAGCAGGTCTTCATCAATGCCTATCAGATGAGGTAACTGGCAGTCCAAGAAGACTCTACTCCCCTCCTTTCTCAGAGCCACCGTCTCCTCCTGAGAAGAAAAAAAAACAACAAATACATTCAATAGCCTTTAGCTGGAATGGTGCACAATAAAAACGCTGACAGACATTTAATGGCAACCAGCAGAAAACTGAATTCTTTATGACTGCTCTTCCTCGCCCCAAGGCCACGCAGAATAGCAGCGTTCCAACCATGTGTCACCATGAAGCAGCGGAAAGGCTAACGGCAAGAAAGACGCCATAAATCATTCAGATTATGGTGGCGAGAGTCAAACTGTATATTGTGTTCAGCAAGCGAGACCGACGCAGTTCTGCTGCCCGCACACACACACACACACACAGATGAGTTGTATACCATACACTGTCACTCTTATTGGTACATTGCTACTGACACTGTGTGTTGCAATTAAAATATAGGAGTTTGCAATAAATAAAGTCAACTTCAAATAACAGCAACAAACTCAAGTAACTGCAAGAAAACTCTCATGAATCAGTGGATGGGTTGTAGTCAAACTCCAAGTAATAAGTAGAACTGATTGACTTTTAAAGTCTACCCTGTTCATGAYGGCTGCAACAGTTTTAAGCAACATTAGCAAAGAAAAAAGACCAACTTAAAATACTGATATTGAGATATTGGGCTAAAGTTCAATATGGTAGCAGCTCAGTGTCATCCTCAACACATTTTCTGAGTCCTTATTGCACTTTGCAAGATCTTTAAATATTACATAAGCTTTTGCATAGTTTATATTTACAAGCTTTCACCAAAATGGCTGTCAGTGTCTGTTCTAATCMTAAAACTCTGGTATGTAAGGTGGCAGGTAATGTGCATTCTTTATTTTGATTTTATTTGCTGCATTTCTGTAATGTCACAGGATGGTTAAACTGAATGCATGAGCTCCTACAAGGTGAAAACAAATGAGCATAAAATAAACGCTGTCTTGTTATGGATTGCATTTAAGTTTAATGGCACCAAATCTAGATTTAATTCTTGAAAAGCTTCTCTTAAAGTACCTGTAACATCAAATTTTAGAAAATGAATGCATTTTTGGAAAGAAAACATATTGCAAAAATAAATAAATAAAAATGTTCATGCTGCTGAGATGAACAGTTGAGATGTTTGAAGTAACAGGAAGTGATGTCAAAAGGGGAATGCATGTGAACACAGCCAACAACCCAGACTGTAGAGAATAATCTGACTATTCATCTCTCTGATATTGACTCAAACTTATCCAAAACAGAGTTCAAATGATGGTTCAATAAATACCAGGGAGTTCCTTTTCTTAATGAGTTCCCCTTTGATGTCATTTCCTGTTTCCCTTTGAGCCAATTTCAAAAGGAAAATAGGCCAGTTATGTGACAAAATGGGTAAAATCACACGTATAATGCCAAGTTCATTAAATTTTAAGATATTTGACTTGACTTTGTGCTTGAAGGGCATGTCACAAGCACTAAAAATGAAAAAAAATCTGCTGCTACAATCGCTTCACTGCCATCAACATTTGATGCTGTGAAAATATGGCTGTCAAGTTGTTACATTGTACAATACCATTCTTTAATAAAAAGATGTAAATGGTGCAGAGTGAATTTCATAATTAAACAGCTTTGATTGACCTGCAGTTTTAAGTCAAAGGGAACAAAGACTAGTACCAAAAACGAAAGGATGCCACGAAATATAAAACGTACCTCCAAGAAGCCCAAAAGCAGCAAGTCTCAAGTGAATTCAGAGAAACCGCTTTGCATAAACCGGCTGCCCTCACTTTCAACCTCCTCCCGCTTTATCGTATAGATTGGACCATGAAGTGAGAGACGTGCCCAACGCCGGCACCACCTCACTCATTGGCAGTTGTGAGACAGGAGAAATCCTTTTTTTTTCTAATGAAGAAGGAGAGGCATCGACCACAGCCMCTGTACTTAATTAAAAGGGATTTTTCACAGACTACATTAGAGGTGAGGAGCAGCCTGGCAGATTAATGCACTGTGTCACTTWCCTGAGACACGACCAACAGATGAGATCCTCATTTTCCTCCCTAAATGCACAGAAAGATGCTCTTTACCACACCCGGAGTAGTAAAAGGCAACATGACCAAAACAAATTCATAAAAATAAATAAAATGATTTGCTTTTAGACAGGAGCAGCTGGTGAACATGTTGTAATTAACAGTGGCCTCGACCAGAAGCCAAGCCTGGGCTGTATTTAGGCTTCCATTAAAAGCCATCATTTGTGGTTGAGTACAAGTTTAATTATTTTATTTCCCAGCCTTTTGGCAGTGCAGGTTCCCAACTTGGGCAGTACGAATTTCTAAACACACACTCCCGCACTAAGCCAGCCAGTCAACTTTCCTGACAGCCCGTCAACTCCGTCAAGCAGAACAATCTGCCAAGAGGACGGATTAGCTCTGAATCCAGAATAGAGAAAAATCTTAGTGTTTAAATTGCTGTGTCACATTAAAAAGGTTAATTTTCTTAAAAAGAGTTGCATTTATATCCCAGATTGCTGGTCTTCATGAAAGTGCAAACGACTTTCACATAAAGAGGCAATTACGTGATCAGCTTTTAAAAACGACAGCCTTTTTTGCCTGCAGTGATTGATTATAAAGCAATGTTAAAGAACTGTCACCTTGTTAACAGTCTTCCCTTTTTCCATTCTGTCAGTTTGTTACACGCAGGAGCTGAATCTTAAACAGAAACTTGTTGGTCTGACAGTAAAATAAACCGCAGTGAAATTAGTTTCAGATCCATTCCGCCGTGTTACGCAACTTGTGCTAAAATAAACTCCAAAAAAGTGTGACTTGAGTAGATAAAAACATTTCAAGGCTTCTTATCAGCTAAAATTATTCTGCTCCGTGTCTGACTTCTGCTGTCAGCCAATTGTCATTTTGCACACACGCCCAGTTCTGTCTGAAACGTCTGCAGCGATTCTTGTATTTAGGGTCATAAATTCAGCAAATGCTTTATTATTAAAGGCCTAGGATTCCTTGAAGAATGCAGATCACCTGCTAACTTTCATGTTGGAATGCTGTCCTATTCACGTCTGGTTTTTGTCTTWTATGCGTGCAATGATTTTTTTTYYCCCCCTCATACAAATTGTCTCACAACCTGGTCCCATACATCAGCAAATACGTTCCCAACAAGTCTCTTAAAAAAAGTTTTGTACATAAAAACCCTATGTTCACTACTGTAATTTCAATAAGTGCAAGATTCTGGACTTAAATCACTGAACCTTTGATCGTTTTCCAAGTCTAGTTTTAGGGTTTGAAATGGAGGTGTCCCTTCAGCTTTACACTTTTATTCAGAAGAACAAAACCAGAATAAAACAGATCTCAGACTAGAGGGGACTCAACAACCAGAACTGAGACTGTGACAGCTGTAGCATTTTTAAAATGAAACTTAAAAGTTTGGCTTAAAGAAAATCAGTCATGCATTCCTTCATAAAATAAGTCTATTTTAACCTTGTTTTAATCGATTGCCGTATTTGTTTTTTTGAATGGAAATCTAGCCGTTGTGCCAATTCTGGTGCATTTATATTCATAGCATATTGATTAATGTGCTTTCTCCTTTTAAATGAAAATCAGTTTAAAATTAAAAAGTTTTGGGTCAGTTTTAGCTACTATCACCAGATTTTAGCTAGTTATGTGTGTGTTTAAGTTTAATAGAATGTGGTGGCTACCTTGAGGTGGTTCACTCAAATTAGTTGTAGACGTGCATTCACATTAAAATCCAACCAGTGGTTCATGTAAAATTTATTACATCTAAAAAAAAAAAAAACATTTTCACTCTTGCACATTCAGCTGCAGGCGATAAATCAACTAAACAAATTTTTGGATCCAAGAAGAGGGCAGAAATTAGACTTGTTTTTCTCAAAGGTAACCAAATAACCAATTTCCTTCAATCAACTTCTGAAAGAACTAATTTTGAGTCGGGCTAAACTCACATGAGAAAAAGGCTGTTTCTGATAACACGGAAAACGATGTGAAGGTTATGAAACGCTATAAAGACTATGATGTAAAAGCGCTGACATTATGAGTCAGATTGACAAGAAGCAGAGCAAAGCTCAGAGCAATCACAGTTTAAGTTGTGCTGATTGCAGCATGTTTGGGAAACGCAAAGACTACCAGGATCAAAGAAAGCTTGTGCTTCATTTATCTCGCTGAAATGGAGGTTCCTCCCACTCTAAAGCATTACAAGAGGACCTGAAAGCAAGGCTGCGAGATCAGAACACACTTATGAAACGTAAAAACTTCTCAAATCTGTAAGCTTGTGCGTGTGTATAATACAAGCATTTATAACCCCGGAGTAGAACACGATTATAGTTTTCCTTCTTCCTGTCTTTTTTTTGTTCTCTCAATCTGTTACTGCCTCTGACTGGCGAAAGGCTGTTCTGGAATCTCTCTCATACTAATTACTTTCTCTTCGCCACATGCCCTGTAACCAATCTGGGAAGCTGACGCTGAATAACTTTGCATTCTAAATCTTTGAATACAGAAACCAAAATTCAGTTTACAACACTCTTGGTCAATTTGTTACTTTAAAAAGGCTCCAATGCAAATTTTTCCACAAAGACCCGCTCTTAAAGCTTAATTTAAAAAATAAAAATAAAAAAAACATCTTACACTCAAACATGGAGGCTGGATCAACACATGCCAAAGATTATTTGCTAAAAGACAACTTAAATCCTTTATTATTTTTTTTTTCCTTTTTTGTATCAACCATGTGCAAAATTTATACAAGCCTAAGCTGATGCATGATGAGTTTCTCTGCGCAGATATCTATGCAGCATTCCATGCAGGAATCCTGCTCATTCCCCGCCCCACCCAACCCCCACACAGGCTGAATGCAAATGCACGAGACGACAAATGTCAAATCCATGAAGTCATTCATCAAACACTTAGGGCTTCAACAACATCGGTGGGGCTACCGGTCACCAGACAGTGACATTTTTACCTGGGTGTCACATTGCATCATTCATTATAACTGAGACACCCGTGTGGATGAGAGCAGCTCTAAACTAAAAATGTCTAGCACTCCTTTAATGCATGCATGTGTCCCACCATTCTTCATGCAAGTATTTTAAATCATGTCATTTAATGCAATATGAGGTCACACTCAATGTATTGTGTATGAGTCACAACTACAGGTGTAGGAAAATATTGATACACTGAAATATCACTATTTTATTTCCTGATGCATGTTTGTGCTCTTTATACTAAGGTTTTTTTTAAAAGMCTAAGAAAAAACAGCAAACAWTGCCTTGCTTATAATATCGTAATACATCACGATATATCGCAATATATCATAACATGTACCATACCACCAAATCCTTGCCAATAAACAGGCCAGGCTACTACCAAATCAAATTTTAGCACAATAACTGAGTTATAACCACTTTGTGTTGTTAAGGTCAACTTAAATTGCGTTGTCTCCAGATGTTTTAGTTGTAAGTGTGCATTCAGTTATTACTGAGAAATACAYATTGGTCAACATTAGCGCAATGCAAACATGAACCTTAGACAAGCGTTACACATCGGTAAAGAATGAAATGAATTTATTTCCAAGTCTATTTATAACTTACTCCWAAAAGATGTCAAACGATTTCMAATTTTGTTTTTAAAAGCAAACTTTGGCCTGAATCACTGCAATGTTTTGCTTAAATCTTTAGCAGAATTGAGCAAAACACTCAGYACGCGTTAGGTGCATTGCTCAGCTACTACCATGCCAAATTTTAGCTCAGTCATTAAAGTTAGCTGAATAATGGCCATTTTTGTTTTGGATAATGCTTATTAGCGAAGGTCTTGAACGGGGTTGATGTAGATTCACAATCCATTTATTTCCAGAAAGTTTCATTAAGTTCCATCGACTGAGTCTTGTTTTTCTAATTGCTAACTGCACAACTAAACACACGCGTGGGCAAAAAACAAAAACATCTACCCCCCTCGCCTTCAGCAGTAATGGAGGTACACGTTTCAGTTCTGCAAGGAGATGGRCAATGCTGCCTCTGAGCAAGAACATGAAAACAGATTTGCACAACCAAAACTTTAATTAATATGCTGGACATTCAGAGACCAAAGCGCCATATGTCAGTAATCAAGATCTCCTAATTAGGAGCAGGGACAGCAGCTAATGAGCTCCAATATGGGCTCACAAATTTAGGCTGTCAAGCCACGWAAGTCACCTGCTAATCATGCAGAACACGAGCACACCTCGTTTAAAATCAACCCTGCAACATTTTGTTTTAAAACCTTAACGAAAGCCTGGTGCAGAACCGTAAAGGAGTTAAATCATGGAAACGAAAGCATCTAGCCAACTTAACTTCACATAACTTTCACAATAATTTAACAAGCGCTAAAGAATTCATTAGCAGCTTGGACGACAGAGCAGTCCCTTCCATACTTTCCTCTGACTGGCACACTTCACAGCTTGATGCATAATGCAACAGGCGACTTCGCTGAACGCAGCCAGTTCCAAAAAGTGACATTTGGTGTTATTTTGGAGGTTGGGCAACATTTCAAGTGAAGAAAAACGTTCGGTGTAAAATTCAAAGCTGGCAACAATGGCATTGTGTTGTTAAAACCTGGAAGTGGGGGTGTTTCTRAGACGATGCCACCCTGTTCTGACTTCAAAGATGACGTTCTGATCATTTACATCTCTTCCTCTCGCTCTCCAAACACTTCCTCACATCATCGCTAGAACTGCAACAACTTGGGTTCTAAATGTGACTGAAATCCAAACAAAAAAAAAAAAAAAAAATCAGATTTAACTGCATGTTCGACCCCATCCATGATGTGGTCGTTCACAAGGCTTATAGTGACCCCTGCTGGCAGGATAAGGTTACTGCAAGCAGAAATAATGAGCTCAGATATTACCTGAATAGTGTGTTCAGGCTTACATGTAAATGTTTTAAATTTCAATTTCATCAGTCCTCACAATTGGTAGTAAGATACTTAAGGTTCCTGTCATTTTAAAATTTCAGACTTAGTAGGAACAATGAAAACCTCAACAAGCAACAAAAGTTTGTTTATATTTTATCTGTTCAAGATTCAAACAACCAGGATAACAAAGCTAAAGCTCAAAAGTTACAATGCAAAACTAAATCATGAGCCTGATCTCATTTATTGTCCCAACTGTTCACTGAATGGTTCCACCTGAACGACGAACAGGTTGAATATCTAAAAATATAAAACAAACTGATATAATCTGATGTTATTGTGTGAGCTCTGTACCTGAGCAGCTTCTGCGAGCAGCACCCTGAGCCGGGTAACCTCAGCCTGCAGCTCTTCGATCATCCTCACGCTGCCGTCTTCTTTCACTCTGGGTGTGTTCATGATACTTTTAGCACGAGTTGCGTAGCGCATAGTGTTCAGAGTCTCCATGTAGTTCGAGTCGGTGGGGGAAATGGCTGCCACGTAAAATTACAAATCACAATAAAATAAACAAGTTATCCACCTTTATTTGACAGAGTAGGTAAAGAAAAGGATCAAAAACTTTCTGAGGGCAGCTTTAAAAGGTCTTCATACTTGCGATCATTGTAGTGATTGAGTTTCCACCGAGGCTGTCTTTTAGCAGCCATGTCAGCACAGAGTCTTTGTACGGAATAAAGATCTGCTTCTGTTTTGCTGAATGTTCGCCCATATTAAGGTCAGCTGTGAGGTCAAAGAAAAAACACAATGAAAACGAAAAGAAAAAGGTTTATGACTCAGGAGAGCAGAAGCAACATGAAAAGATTCATTTTTAAAGCTCTGTGGATCAATATTTGAAAGGGTCTTCAACCAATAAAAATTATTTTGAGCTTCAGTATTTGACTTTTTCTTCAATTAGGAATTAAAAACTACTTTAAATTCTGAAATAATTCTACATTAAATTAAATATTGCAGTCATAAAAATGATCTGAGCAGATTTATCCCATCCTAGCTGATGATTCGTCACAGAGCGTCAGGCGTGACTGTTTTTACCCAGAGCTGAGATCACACTCCCCAAGGTGACCAGGGATTTGTTGATGTTGGCGCCTTCCTTCAGCCGGGTGCCTGTGGTGTGTGTGGCGTCAGCTCGCTCGCTGCCTGCCAAGTCTACCAGGTGGATCTTACTCAGTCTCTCCCGTGGCAACTCCGCATCAAACCATGCCTGTGGTACGAGGGGAGAAAAAAAAAACACATATTTCAGAGCAACTTTGTTACAAAGATCCCGAGAGGCAACATCACAGGGGAACAAATCAGTACAGACATGTTAATGCTAGAAAACTAAAACAAAATATTTTACTCCCGTTTATCCAGTTAGTGATCTTTTACTAGGATATTTTAATTTCCTGCTAAAGTGTAGTGTGAATGCTTAATGTGGAAAAGATTTTTGCTGAATAACTGAACAGCTTAAACTAGCTTTAAACAGTAGCTAGAATTAACAGAATGAGCATGTTCGCTGAATTAAGCAGAAAAAAACTGAAACACTAAGAGGTTAATTTAGCTGAAATAAGCTCAAATTTGCTAAAAAAAAAAAAGTTCCTTAAACACACAGAAAACAGCTGAAATTGACAAACAGCTAGAAGTATGTGTAAACAGCAAAAAAAGTTTAAATTAAAAGAAAATGTAAGAATGAAAGCTAAAAAGCAAGAGAGAAAAAAGCTGTAAGAAAAACCGAAGCTGAAGGAAGCTGAAATTAGCACAAAAGTGGAAAAAAGTAGAAACAGAACAAAAAAAGGTCAAATGATAAAAAGATTCATAAACATTTTTAAAAATGTTTTAAATTGAACGCTCTGAGGAAAAAAAAAGCTAAATATAAATTACTGAAATACAAAAAGTCATAGCAGGCCTGTCCTGCAAGAGCTGAATGTACAAATGACAGAAATAGCAGAAGATGCTAAAAAGCTTGCAGAAGAAAAAAAATGATTAGTTGTGTGAATGCTTTATAAACATTCACACAATAATTATCACGTGTCTGAAAACAAAGCAGCAGTGATTTTTACCTGCATGTTGTGGGAATATTTTATCGCTGTGGTACATGTTTCCACTCATGCATCTTCAAAAGAGCATGTTAAACTTGTGCATTTAAATGTGGCACAGTTAAACTGTTAAAATTGTTTCATTTTGATTACTGAACTGTAATCTGGCTCCTATAAAAAAAAATGCAAATACTTGATAAGAGCAATCAAAGTGTTTAAAGACAGCAGCTCACCTGAGTGAGCATGATTGTGAAGATGGCGTGCGAGCGGCTGCTGAAGTCGTTCATGCCCGTGCTCGAGACGGTGCGGTTGGCGTTCCCAAAACTGATCAGACCCTCCACGTCTCTGATGCCGTGCACCATGTGCTTCGACAGATCTACAAACAAGTGTCTCGTATTTTTAAAACGACTCGTAAGCTGGACATGAGGATCAAAAGATAAATATATTACTTTCCACACAGGGTCCGTCAGTGGGGTGCTCCCTCACTTTCAGGCCTCCACCATCTGTGCACGGAGATCTCCTCTTCAGAAGGTCCTGCACACGCTCATTGTAGATCTCCAGGTAGCTACAAAGAAAAATAAGAGAAAAAAAAGGATTGTTTTGGATTGTCATTGTTTGCAAATGCAACAAAGCCAAATATGAAGGAGTTATTTTTACAGTCAAATATGAAAAGTTGGTTCTGGTTGTGCTGACACTGAACAAACRGTAATTATATGCAAAGATCAACATCGGAAAAATAAAAGTAAATCAAAGTGATCGTTTCAGTGCTAAGAATCAAAAAAAGTGATTACAAAAAGCTTAAAARCTTAAAATCATATTTTGGAAATGTTCGCAGCTAGTATTTACCATTTTTCTGCAACTTTATAAAAAAGGAAATTTACTTTGGTGTCATCTTATTTCTAAATTTTGAGCCATTTTCAGCAATTTCACATTTTAAGTTTAAAATATGAGCTTAAAAAGGGGCAGATAAAGAATTTTTTATCTTTTTGCACACTTAATTTTTTAATGAATGAAATAAATTTAAAAATGACTAATTTATAAATCAATAGTAATCAATAATACTGAATAAAATACAAACAATGCTTTTTAAATTAGCATGAATCCGCTGGGATCAACAGGACGATAATTTGTGCCTCTACTGGTAATTTGAGGTTCTAGTGTTAAGAAAATCACACTAATCAATAAAACCAAAATATTTATGAACTAGAAGAATACACAAACAGATTAAAGCTAAAATACTTTTGATAAAACAGAAGAGACAGGTTTATTTCTTACACATCCCCATATTGCCTAAAAGGAGAACAAACGATACAAATCCTGACTTTTTTGTAGCGATCTCTCATTGGAGCAAGGTAAAAATGTATCAAATATCCATTTAAATTAAACGCATTTAGTCCAACTGTCTCTCCTGCAAACGTTTCAGTCAAAACGTGTTCAGCTGCCAACACTCTGCAGGAACCTCCRCCCAGAGACACTTGGCACAAGAGCAGCTTCAAAAACCTGTCTGCTGCTACACAGCATCTACCTTTAACCTATTTATTTATAGGACAGACTGAGTAAATCTTTATTACATTTTATTCTCTGGACTCTGAAGTACTCACAAATCATTTCATTGCTCAATAAACTGGATTCATTTTTTACTAAATATTGATTTAACGCCTCTAGATGCTCAATCGTTCTGGAGGATTTCATTTTTTCTTTTTAAGAAAAACTTTACTTTTCCTTTTATTGAAGATGGTTTCGTAAATTGACAATTTAACTGGGGCTTAATTATGCATGCATGATGACAAAAAAATTATGCATGCATGATGGAATAAAGGCCTGGCWATCCTTAAAATATAAATATATCACACCCAAATGGCTACAATTGCATTCCTTTTAAGGTTTTAACAAAAGTACAGATATGTGGAAGACTGAAACTCAGAAATGTATAAATAGACCAATAAATAAATATACACTTAAAAAACAATTCAATTAAGAAAGGAGAACTTTAACTTGTGTTCTATAATTTAATTAACCTTCATGTTTACGTTTCCAGCTTAGTTCCAACAAATTACACATTTTAGATCATTTAAATTTTTACCGTTTTTAATTTTTTTTTTAATTTTTCCCTTTACTTGTACATGCATTTGTTTAATATCATTTTATGTAATTATTTTTTATAATTTTCCCCATAAATCTTTTTCCATGTGTTCTTGCATTCCTTAGTTTTTACTTTACCTTCTGTATTTCTGCCTCATAATGCAAATAAGGTGGGCGGAGCTTCTTGGGTCCTCTCCTATTGGTTGACAGGAAGTAGCAGGAACTATGTGCTGCCTCAATTTTGCTTAAAGTTTAGTTAAAAACAAAGACAAGAAGGAAAACACGTGCCTATTTTCTTATGCTGTAAAGTATATAATTTATTGGAACTAAGCAGGAAAAATAATATGAAAGCCAATTAAATTAACAAGGTAAATTTCTTTTAATTGGTGCAATTTMATTTATTTATTGGTCCATTTATATATTTCTGCTTTTCTTTCTAATTTTGTTAGTTTCAGTCCTCCATACAGACATGTGTTGTAAAAGACATCAAAAACAACAATGACTCATAAATATTGTGCTAAAATCTGACAGTAGCTGAGTCAGCAGGCTGTGGCGGCCATTTTGAACTGGATCAGTCRGACCACTATTTCGCTGGATATTTTGCTAACAATCAGGAGCTTTTATTAAGCCAACGGTGGTGGCTGTGATTCCGTCATACCTGACCTCCGTACGGAAAGCCACGGTCCCACTCTTGCATCTGTTGGATATCTCCGAGAACAAGCCCTCGCAGATTCGTGGGATCAAACCTTTATCCGCCTTTAAATTAAGAACAAACAAAGCGTCCTCTTCACAACCCTCAGAAATAATGAAGTGCACACTCAAAATGACAATTACATTTAGATCCCATTATGTTCTCTTAATCTGAGCGTCCGCACCGCGCAGAGACTGCTGAGCAACACAAACATCAGCTCATCTGATACGGAGTCACTGAAGCATAAAAGCAATCCCAGTCTGAACTGTATGCTCTCTTGTTTTTAATTACAAAGTAACAGATAGTAAGCATTAAGAGCCGTATATAATTATCTCTGATGTTGACAGCAGCTCTGACAATGACCTTGCATAAGCCTCACTCGTAATGTAAAGTTTCCATTGCTGCACAGGGTGTGACAGAGAGTGTGTGTGTGTGTGTGTGTGTGTGTGTGTGTGTGTGTGTGT